GAAGAGAAAAAAAGTCAACCATCAAAATAGGGACTATCTTTATTATGATTATAATTATTTTTATTTAATGAAGATTCTAATTGAGAAAGAAAAGGATGACTACTAATGTTATTCACACTCTTGGTATAGTTTTGACGCACAGCGTCTTTATTATTAGCGATAAGATTATCTAGTATATAAAATGGAATGAATGAGAATAAAACGACAGAAAACAAAGATCGACGTTGATAATCGAGGATGATCATATATGATGGATCCATTCCACTAGACATGGAACCTACCAGGAGAAGAGGACATTGATTTCTTATATGACCCGGTTGTTTACAATTGTGACATGTGTACGAAGTATTCGATCGATGTGATGTTCTAGAGAAAAAAAATACTCATTAACTTTTATAATTCATAGTAACAAACAAAACTTACAAGTATCGTGATTGAGAAGTTTTTACAACTTCTTTAATTCGTTCATCTTCACTCATTTCTTGTGTTGTAGTATTGTTTGACGACTAACAAATAGAATAAAACAATTGTGTTGTATTTAATAAAGAAAATAATAAACTAACCTGAGTAAGCATTTCTAATGGAATGGCTTCACTGTCAACAATTGATGATGATGATGGTGCATTTATTGTTGAAGGTATTGTCTAAAGTAAATCAGAATTTTAACATAAACATAGATGAAATTTATTATGCTTTGAAAAAAAACAACAAGTTTTTCAAAGGCTTTCTTGAAGTTATAAATTATGATCAAACTTGTCAAACTTTTTGATACCGTTTGACATCCTATCTGAATCATAAATAAGATTTTATACAATCAAGAAAAACTTGAAAAGATTTGAATGATTCGATAGGCACCCAATGTTTCCTATGCTAATAATATTATCTTATCCCAGAGAGATGAGATCGGTTAGATTTTCGAAAATTGCAAATCGATTTCATCTGAATATGATACTCTAATACGTTTGTTAACTTGAATATAAACTTTCACTCGATTCAATTTAGAAATACTTCAATTCGGTTCGGTTCAAAAGAAACACGAACTAATTCCACTTATATTAGTCACTTTTTCTTTTCTTATTCGACAAAAGATAGATACATAGAACCCTTCTAGCATTGTTATGAACAAGTGTAAGAAAAAAAAGTGAGTAGAACATATTCTATTTCTTTGCCTAGTAGTCAGGTGAATAGTAACAATAATAGACAAAGTCATTTCTCAAAGGACTAAAATTCTTTTAGAATTTTATCTATCTCTTAAAGACGTTTTTTTTTTCTAGCTAAAATATGCAATCAAACAGTATCCGATACTTCGAGTTTTTCTTTTGCTAATCATACACAAGAAAATAAGTATTTTACTTACAAGCTGTGCTGGTTGAAGTATAGCAGGTCGAAGATAACTGTAATGTGATATCAAATAAGATTTGTGGAACTGATAGATAAAACTTACTCATTGACAATATCATCTGATGATACAACTGGTTTTTGATTTGATGTCGGTGTTAATGATTCTAACATACCTCGAATACGTCGAGCTACAACAACACTTGTATTCCGTGGAATCATATCAGAATTATCTCTGTATTCTAAATATACGTTACAAAAAAAACTAATATGATACAAAATAAATTAAAGATATTATGAAAACAGACCTTCATGTGTTGTTGCATTACTAATAATTAAATCATAATCATCTCTTGGATGATGTGTTCCCGATCGTGATGATCTTTCCACAATCAATCGTTTAAGTTCTCCAAGAGAACAGCTCATTCCTTCGAATTGCACAGATTCAAAATCTCTGTCTGCTTTGTATTTATATCGAACAATTGACATAGTTTTGGCCATATTGACGTATCAGATAGAGAGACAATAAGATAGAAATATACACAAACAAAATTATTATGTGTTTATTCAACGTAGCTAGCAATTGATCAAAGAAAAATCGATATTAAAAAAAAACACGATAAAAATGTTATTGATAATTGACGGTCAAGGCAATGACAGACGATGACCAACTAGATGACAAAATTGTAGCAATTGTTAAGCATGATCAACAAATGATGATGTACAATAGAAGAAGATAAATCGAGACATTCTATATTTCAATCTATGAAAAAAATACAAGAAATAGAAGTTGTCCTTTTATTTTATATATTTATTATGACGAAGGTTGAAAACAAGCGAACAAAACCTATGAGTCACACATATATCAATAATAAACAACTGATTGCATAGCATTAGAAATCTTGCATAGCCATGACAAAACAGCCTCCATAGTACAGATAAATTTTTCAGAAGAAAAATTAATAAAATTAATTAAAGAATCAATTGCAATTGAAAAAAATTCGAGAATTTCGTATGTCAATACAAATAGTGCCATCTATTATCGCTACTAGTGCGAAGACTTCAGATTGATTATTTCGTAGTGAATAAATACATCAAAATGACAAAAACACGATGAAAAACACGATGAAAAACACGAGCAAAATCTATTTTCAAGCTTCAATATTATAATACAAAAACGGGTAGAACTTGTGGTGGTTGGCTGAGTAGTTTCGGGCTCTTTTTTCACTTGTGTTATCGAATTCAGAAGCTTTCGAAACATTTCTTATTCAAATTGTCAATTTTGACGATCATCTGTGTCTGTTTCGTTAAACATAACAATAATAAATAGGTATCTATACTAGTGTGGCAATAATTTAATCGCTTGATCAATATTTCTTTTGATTAACGATAAACATTGTAGTGATAGAAATATTGAAAGGAAGAACTTCCGCAAAGGTCGATAATCTTGTCTTGAAAACATAATATAGTTTGAAAAAAAGAAATATCGATCAAATGAACTTTTCATAAAGGCTAATAAGAAATAGTGTCAGATACAAAGTACACAATTTTCGTCCACAAGCGAATTAGTTAGAGTGTCATCAGTTCAAACTGATATATTATTTGTTTGGAACTGTTTAGACAGACAATTGAAGTGGAAATTACCAAACGTCTTTTACATTAATTATGTGATGAAATGAAGCAAGAAGGAGCTCTATGCTCATGAAAAATGTTAACAAGACTTTCTCGTGATCAATATACGTAAAATATACTCTTTACAAGCGGAATTAATGGAGACTTCTATTCAACTAATAGAACCATTGATGTGCTACTATATCGGGTAAAAAATTACATAAATTGAACCTATTATTTAGGGAAAAATCCACAGCAAGAGTGTTTAAAAAACAGAGAGAAAACAAAACAATGACCACTCGACATCGGCATCTATTGATTATAATAAAATGTAAATAGAAGAAACAAGAACATTGAGTGATTAGCGACCAACTTAAAACAAATATAACATCCGAAACATAGCTCGTTTAAATATCATTTGATAAAGAAAGACAAACTATTTCTGGATATTCAGATGAAGTTTCATTGATAGAAATCTACTTGGTCAAAGAAAGGTTTCATATTTTAGTATCAAGTCTTTTTGTTTTTGTGATACTCGACAAAAGATCCTTATCAAAAAGTTCTCCTCAATTAATAGCAGATGATGTGCTATTTGTTACATCGTGAAGTTGATCAGCTTTTTATCAATTCTTATTCATTGTCTTAACATCAATAATCAAACACTAATGGGATGTTTTGCCTATAGTTTTTTTTTGTCTGAGCAACTTTTCTTGCACTGTCAGCTCTGAAAAACACAGATTTTAGGTATTAATCTCCTATATATTTATTGTCCACTGATCCAGTTCATTAATAATCTGTAGGAGGTTTACGCTCAAATGACAGTTTTTCATTTCCGCATGTATGATTTAAGCATCAGAGCACGTTTAATAATTTACACAACAATAAGAAATCTGATTAAATTAGATGTTGTAGAATGGTAATCGATTCTTCGATTTTTCATTGCAATATTAAAGGAGAACAAAATTTTCGTTGTTATCATATTACAGGACAGAAAAAAACTTGTTTTCAAATTAAGAACTTTTTTATTCATTCATTATAATGTTCACATAAATTTGAGTAAACTAATGTAAGAGACAATAATTTCATTAAGCTTATGGCCGATAGATTCAAACAATTGTCCTAATCTAATAAAGTTCTGGTTCTTAAGAACAGAGCTGTGACTGAGCAACACTATTTGATAGAGACAAATTTGATTAAGATTCTTTTAATGTTACTTTTAATTATATTTCCATGTTTTCCAAGGACAACTGATTCAATGAGTAGGAAATAGAAAATCAATAATTATTCTCAGTTTAACTGTCATTGTTGTTACCATAGTAGCATTCTTCATATGCAGTGGTTTTTTGCAAACATTATAGGTTTTCATCTTTTCTGATTCGGATAAGATCCATCTGATACGGATATAAATTGACATTATATTAAACGATACTCATAAAATTCGTTTTTCTTATGCAGAAAGTTATGTCATCAATAAAATCTGTATTGGTTATTTTTTTTTACATTCTTCGAGAATTTTCTGAAATAGCGTCTTTACTAGCTACTCATTATTTGCATTTCGCTGTTTCAAAAACACAACACGTATAGAAAAAATATTATACAGGAAATGATTCATAAACGATAAGTAAATATTTGCATTGGAAGTATGGGGAAAGTATCATTTATTAAAGAACTGCGTTGATATGACTGAGTCATTTCTATGAAAAGGTAGGCAAAGGAAAGAAACAAATTTGTTGTGCAAGAATGGTTTACAGATGAAAAATCATCTTTTAAGAATACTTCTCATTTTATTTTATCGCCTATTAACATTCAATCGACAAAGACACGAATAAATATATTCGAAACAAGTCAATTTTGCTCATCACTGCCATCTATTCAATTGTCTAAGTGACCATTGGCTTAGTTTCTGCCGTGTCATTAATTATTCTTCCTTTCTGTTATTTCTTGTCAATGAAATGAGATCGAAAAAGAAAAAGATACAATATGAAACGAGAAATTTATCATTTTTTTTTATATAACAAGAAGAATTATTTTCTATATAATTTATTTTAGATATGAATGCATCCCCGAGATCTTCCCCAACAAAAATGAGTAATAATTCCACGCCAGGTGATTCACCAAAAGAAGAAGGTAACTAAAATACTTATTATTGATTAATTTTATTGAAGTTTTTTACATTTAGAACATGATTGGGTTTCTTATTTAATCGAAACAAATAGTGAAGCAGCGCCAGCAAGTAATTTCAAACAAGTAAACAAAAAGTACACTTGTTCTTTATTATCTTAACAAATGATTTTCTTCAAAAGGCTTTGATTCCACCAGTGAACGAATTCATTGTAGGAGAAAAACTTGAAACAGTTGATCCAAGAAATCAAGATTCATGGTGTATTGGAACAATTATTGAAAAAGATGGACCAAGATTACGTATACGACTAGATGGAACAGATGATCGAAATGATTTTTGGCGTCTTGTCGACTCAGCAGATATTCGTTGTTATGGAACAACAGCAAAATCAGTATGAAAAATGTTAATTGAATTATAGTTTTTAATGATTTTTTGTTTTTAGGGTGGACAAATTGTACCGCCTCTTGGTTTTCAACTAAATTCAACTCGATGGGCAAAGTATTTTGAAAGAAATGTTAAAGATGGTCCGTTTGCTGCTGAATCATGTTTCAAACCGGTAAAGAAAAAACATGAAATTTTCCAACAAAACAAAATTTATCAATGAATTTTAGCAACCTTCGAAACCCGAAAAGAATTTATTTCAAAAAGGACAAAAATTAGAAGCGATCGATCCAAAACATCCTCATGTAATATGTCCAACAACAGTAAGTAATGTTATACCTGGGGATTATCGGATTACTTTATCATTGGATGGATGGAGTTCATCAAATAATTTTAAAGTTGATTATACATCACGAGATATTTTTCCTGTTGGTTGGTGTAAATTAGCTGGAATTCGTATTGCAAAAGTTGGTGGAATTCGTATGTATTTTATTCATAATATCATATAGAAAAACGACAAAGAAAATTTTCAATCTGTCTTTAGCTCTTTCTCGTACATCGAATAAAACATTACCATCAACTCCGACTAAACAAAATGAAAATGTTCGCCAACAACAATCGAGAAATAAGAAAACAGTTGTTCCATCATCATCAAATGATTCATCGTATTCACCAACTATCGATGAGAAAAATAATAATTTAACAACGAAAAGAAAAATAAATCAAACATCAAGGAGTAAAACGGAGAATGAAAATTCAATTGATTTAGATGAAAATATTAAAAAGAAACGACCCTTTGGTAAGAATTCTATCATTGAAAGTTTGTTCTCTGTTCTCTTAAATTACTGGAAATATAAATGACAGAGATATCCACAGCGATGCTGTTGCCGCCGTTATTACGCCATGAGCGGCGAGGTAATGGGATTTTTATTAACCACGGCTGTGCTGGAGATGTTTCAAAAACATTATCGCGGCAGCAGCAGTTTCTCTTTTTAAGAAGATTGTAAAATTGCATGAATTTTCACATGATTTGAGTATTTACAAGTTCAACAGTCAGAAGCGTGATGTGTTTGATGGAGTTCATTTATCAATACAAATTTAGCGGAGCGACGAATGATATTTTCGAAGAATTTATTGAAAGCGATTGTACCAGCAGTAGATTTTCAGTTTTGAGGAACATCTCTGGTAGATCATAGTTCAGAATTTGGACGCGAATAAAATTTTTCAACTTTGGCATCTCATAGTTTCTAAGTCCTGGAGTTGACATTATCATTAAATAGAGATGACTGTCACAAAATCGATCGTAGATAAAAAAAACGAAAGAGAAAGTTTCAAATATGCTTGTCATATGATCCTTTATATAACACCATCAGTCTGAAAGAACAAATATACTTAAAACAATTTAAGAAAAGCTGTTAGCGTGCAACTCCTACGGAATTAAATATGAAACACGATGTAGTTGTTCTTCCTAATCACAAGAATATTGTTTGATTCTATGTGTTTTGGAACACCGTTCTTCACCATAAGTTTACTAAATCCTCTAGAAATGCAAACAAATAGAACTAGTTCATATATTATAACGAGATGTTATTCGTATGCGATCTATAATCGTATATCAACAATGTCTTTCACGAGAAGGTGAGCAAAAGGAGAGGTCTAAATTTTTATTCCTATACTTGACCACTCCTTTTAGATTCATATATCGCAGAATCATGATTATTAGATTCCATAATGATGATTTTTATACTTTGACAGACATAAAACATATAGTACCCTAAAATTTCGACATACGCACATACCAGCGCACAGTTTGGATAATCACAAGCTTACTTTCTAATGCTTATCAAACTCAATTGAGTACTAGTTTCATTTAGAGATAAACAAATTTGTTGATTTTTTTTCAACATATTGAGTAAATGACTGCTTTGAAATGAGTCTACTCTATACATTATCATATGTAAAAATGTTTTTAATATTTTCTCCTTTAAATGTTGATAATTAACTGAGTGCTCCTATTAATACTCTCGAGACCTCTGTTTAGAAAGTGGTGGGAAAAAGTTTAATTATTGTATTTTTTCATATTTATCTATAATGTTAAGTATGTAACTTAAACCCAGATAGTCATCTTAATAACTGATGGGTTTTTCTGTCTAATGCATTCTATAGTAAGGTTTCATAGATGCACTATGATGACAAGGTTTCTAAAGAATCGGGCACAGTAGCATGCAGATTCCAGGAGACTTTGTCGGAGCTATTGTTCAACGATCTTCCTTTAGAAACTTTCAAGTATCAAAATAATCATAAAAAAACGAAATTCATCAAGAAATAGACTAAATAAAACGTCTATTATGGTTTTTATTGTGCTTGTAAATTTTAAAGAGAAGGTCATAGAGATTGTGGTCACTTCGGATTTAGTACAGAATTTTTTGTTCGTTAGAATAGCATTATTGAAAAATATCTCCGTCAAAACCTTCTCACACATGAAAACTGGAATATTCGATTTTTCAGAAACCTTGCTATCACTTTTCATCTATGAAATCTTTCTTTAGAATGCATTAGATAGAAAACTTCATTGGATATTAAAATTACTATCTAGATTTTAGCTAGTTCCATAAAACTATAGAGAAATATGAAAAACGACGTTGTTATAAAAATTCTTTGAACTATTCTATGGCATGGTGTATTTCTTAAAACATTCGAATAATTCTTCTATTGAAGCAGTTTTCGTATTCTTTCAATCAATAGTTTAATTAATGTTGAAAACTCGATTATCAGATTTTGACTATATAGTTAAGAACTTGAAATGAAGTTTAAAAGCTTTATGTATGAATATTTCTTGTATTTCCTGAAAAACAAAAAACAACGAATTCCTTTCATTAATTGAAAAAATCTCTTTTAGTCACTGTATATTTAAACTATCTTGGTGATAATAGTGGAATGTTATTAAATCCACAAAAATTTCGTTCATCAATGCCATCAACATTTGGACCCGATGAATGTCATATTGTCTTAACATCAATATTTGATTCATGTATTAAATGTGCTTTTCAACAAGCATCATTTATTAAACGAGTACTTGATATATTTCCAATACCTAAAGATGAAGAAAAAGATTCTTATACACAGATTAAATGTACGTATAAAAATATCTTTTTGTTTTTTCTTCTTGAATAAAATTTAAAAATTATTTTTTATAGTGGAAAATGGTACAATAGTATATATTCAACAGCTTGAAACAAAAAATGATTTTTGGAATATTATTCGCATATTTCAAAATATTATTTTATCTGGTAATGATCTTTTTATTTCAACATCACCACCATCAGCGAATAACCGAAGTAAAAATGAAAGAAATTTTTGTTCGATTAGTAATGTTTTATTGATTTAGGTAATGATTCATCATCATACCTATTTGATTCATCTACATCATCTGGTTTGTATAATTTACATTATTGCTTGAATATTTAACATAATGATATATTTATAGATAAAAAAGAAGATTCTTTACAATCATATCGATCAATAAATAATAATAAAACTAAACGGAAAAGTACAGAATTAGCTTCATATCCAGGTATGTACATTTTCAAATTTTTTTTCTTTTTTTTTTCTGAATATGATTTTTGTTATAGAGAATATAACATCTATAAGTAATGGTAAAGTAGCACGATCTAGTTCAAATGAAAGAACGGTTTATGACACAAGTAATTATACTACTAGCTAAAAGTAGAGATGCCCGATAAAAGTAAGCAAAAACTCGAGCCTTGAAGCTGCCAATTTTATTACGAATAGAACTCAGTAGGAACTAATTCGAGACAACAATCTATACTCAATAGAGCGATAAATAACAGGGTTATGATTTAAATCATACCTTGACCTTAAAACACCCGGATCTCTTGTGTCCAAGCATCTTCATTTGTGTGAGAAGGCTCATTGGTCAGCTAGACATTCAACCTTTCTATTGTAAAGATTTTGTACGAAATCATCTTTGTCTTGTTAAGTTTTATGTTTGTAATCAAGAATTGTTCACTACAGCCATATCAGTACCCTGAGATAAATTGACGGTTATTTAGCCAGATTTCAAGAGTGTTTTTCTGAAAACATTTTGTAAAGAATTCTCAATAGTCAAGAAAGTTTTCTTAGAAATTATAGAGTGATAGCTATTGTTGAATAAGAATTGTCTAAGAAACTTGATGTCAATAGTGCAAGGCTCATTTCAATCCGGAATCTTCATTCAAAACAAATATTTAAGTTAAAAGAAACAAAAACTATGTTGAAAAAAGTTTTGGGTGTTTCATCAATTAAAAGTTAAATTTTAATTGATAAATAAACTGAATATCTGATTCCTAATATACAAATGGCGTTTGAAATCCCGACGTGTATTGAGACTTGCACTATTGACATCAAGTTTTTTCGATAACTTCTATTCAACAATAGCTATCACTCTCTGATTTCTAAGAAAACTTTCTCGACTGTTAAGAATTCTTTACAAAACGTTTTCAGAAAAAAACTGTTGAAATCTGATTAAATTATAGTTAATTAATCTTAGAGCATTGATATATCTGTGGTAAACAATTCTGAAATACAAACATAGAACTCAGCAAGACAAAGATGATTTTGCACAAATGAAAATGCTCGGATAATAGAGAACCGAATATCTTAAGGTCACTGTAGTGTTTAACCCATAACTCCACTATATGTGATATAAGTGTTGAGTTTCAAGGCTCGAATTTTTGTTTACTTTTATCTGGCATCACTACTTTTGACCAAAAGTGTATTTTACAAAGTTCATATTAATATATATTAGTATCTCCATTGAATACTTCTTCAAAAGCAAAAAATCAACAATATTCGAATTCAAAATCAAATCAACATGCTCGTAAGTATCATCCTAAAAACTAAAAGTTCATATTGAATATGATTCATTTTATTAGATGGATCTCATCATCATGAACGATTTACACCAAGTGAAGTAGCAGCGTTTGTTCGAAATATTGATCCATCATTTGACAGTCTTGCTTCAAGATTTCTTCAAGAGGTATCTGTGATAATTAATTGTTTTTTTTTTTAATGATTTTTTTTAATAGGAAATTGATGGAAAAGCTCTTCTTCTTCTTACAACGGATACTTTAATGAGACATATGGGTTTAAAACTTGGTCCGTCACTTAAAATTGTTCATCATATTGAACAATTAAAAAAATCTTAAAAGAATTTATTTCTTTTGTCCGATGCTAGTCTCTTCTAATTTTCTTTTTCTCCTTTCTTTTAAATAATTCTCGGTGATTCTCTCTGATTTACAATCGGTTGAGAACACTATATTTTTTTTTGTATAATAACAGTGCACTCTTCATTTTCTCAATTTACTTATTCGTTCTGTTACTAAAAAACCTTATTTTTTATTTGTATACTTATATTTACATGTGGGACTGAATGGGTTATTCGAATATCAAACTTTATTCCTAGTACTTCTCGAATTATATCATGGTTTATTTAACTTATGATTTTATCGTTGATACTTAATCAAATCATGTTTATAATAGAAGAAGTATAAAAACAGAAGAAACATTTTATAAAGATTGTTAGTTTGATTTATTTGATGATACACATTATTGTTGTCCGTTTAAGTAATATAACGGTGTAATTTGATGATTTTAGTGTGCTTTTTCTTGTCTTTATTGTACTTTTTGTGTAATCCATGTGTTAAAAGTCTATGAATAACATATTCACTTGACGTTAGATTACTTATAAGATACTAGAGAGAATGTGGATGTCTGCACAGAATTTTGATATTAACTCATTTCTCTATTTTGATTAGAATTCTCTCAATTGAAATCATAACTCTTTGAATATAACAGGTAGTAGAGCGAAGTTTGCTGTACAACATACCTAGCTTGCTCTCGTCTGATGCCACGTAGTTTTTCGAAAATTGATTGTGGGCATTAATTCTTTTGAACTTCAACTTATTTCTACCATTATTTTGTAGTAACAAAAAATACTTGACACAAAGTAGAGATTTATGTTATTCAAAAACTTTTTACACATTGATTATTTTGATTTTATATGTGTATTCATTCAATCTGTTGTCTATCGATAAAGTACAAGAAGTATCTTTGTATCGTTTATTCTAAACATACACATATGTTTGTGTATGTTCTTTACCGTTTTCTTTCTATATGTATTTATCAATAACTGATGACTTTGTTATAATGGATCATTATTAAATTGTGTAATCCTGTTGATGCTTTTTTTTTGTTTGTTTTCTTTTTTTTTCCTTTTTCCATACATGTAGTCTCGAAAATGATGGAAAACTAAGATCTTCATATAGAAATGAAAAAAAATAAAATTTAATACAATATTGTATTATATGTTGGAATACAACTTGAAAAGTAATGAATTAATTTCACATTATATTGATGAAAGTTGTTTTTATATTGATTTATTAATATGAAAAAATTAGTATATTTTAGTGTCACTATCGAGGTCTTATTGAAAGAGATAAATCTTATCATGTTTAGTTTAGATGTCTTCTATTCATAATATCCACAGACGTTTCGCATTAATATTAATTGATCCTCAAAATGGTTTTATTAATGATGGTTATTGGTCTCGTATGTTCCCTATGGGTCAATCGACTCCTATACTTGAATCATTTCATCGTATTGTTTTATTTCTTCGTTCAATACCAAATCCTGATTTAATTCCAATATTAATTAGTGAAACTGGTTTTTCCCGTCGGGATCGACAAATTTTCGAACCAATAGCTAATGAAATTTCTCAACGTGGATTTACTTCAATAACTCGCATTTATAAACCTCATACAAATCTTTCAATATGCCCTGGTGTTCATCAATGGTTACATGAACAATTACAATCAAAATTAGATATTATTATTGGTGGATGTACAATAACATCATGTATACGTGATTCATCAATACAAATGAAAAAGATGTTTCCACAATTAAATTTATTCGTTGATCAAAATTTATGTGCAGCTAGAAAAGATAATTATGTAGAAAGATGCGAAAAATGTTTAGAAAGATATATGATTGATGGTTCATCACCTAATCAAGATTGTACAGTTTGTGTTAGTAAAGATTCAACTAAACAAATGCTATCACCTGTTCAATTAGCTTTTCAACAAATGAAAGATGCTAATGTTAATGTTATTGATAATTATTCTTTAACAATGAATTCATGAGTTTTTGTTTTGACACATTTGATGAATATAAATCATATAAACGACAAAAGTTATAATGTAATAATGTGAGAATCATACCAATATGGGTGGTATTATGATAAGCAATTTGAAATTTTAGTACTAAACAATCATCTATTGTTTTTATAATAACAACAATAAGAAAAAACGTAGTTTATCTTCAGTAACTTCTTACAATTAATTATAATTTTATAATAATAAAAAAGAAAAAACAGAATAATTATGATATTGTATCTCCTTCTACAGTTAGATCACGTTGTAGATCATGATCATTCTTCAATAATATTTAAAATAATAAATTCAAGTTTAAAAGAAAACAAGTTAAAGTCAATATAATAATAATATTTTTTATCAGGTGTAAAAAATAATCCTGAACATACAATCTGGTCTTCAATTTGCCAATATTGAGCATATAAGAGGAAACTGTCTTTTAATCACCAAAAACAAAAAAAAAGATACTTTTGTTCACTAAATCCATTAAGACGACATGGATGAGAGACAGTTAATGTTTATGAATAATAGATGGTGCATTTATGGCAGATAGTACACGTATCCTAAAAGTTAATTGATCGATAGGACAAAGTTGAATAATGATAAGAATCTCATCTGATTAAAATGATCACATTAAATTCAGAACACTTATAAACAACGGTACTAGTGTTGCTTCGTTTTTTTTTCTCATCTATTTTTGTAAAAGTACGACTGGTAGTTCTTATACTGTCTGTTATTGTATTAATAATAAATGTGATGATCAAAAATATTCTTTCCCAACATATAATATTTACATTTCAAATAAATTTGTTGTAAAAATTCCATTTGTATTCCATTTCTTTTTTTTTCCGCAAAAAACTCAACAAACTCTTATGTGTCTCATCTTACATCAAACTGAATTCAATCAATTGATTTTATTTTCAATTAAAATTACCATAAGAACTCAATCAATATGAACGATAATAAATAAGTACCATACATGATTAAATTGTTCTCAACGGAATAAACATTATATTTTATGTCACTCATTCTAAAACTTGTTTCGTCGTTATCGTTTTACGTCATCAATATTGTTCACACAACTCATAGGAATAGAACCTTACTAGTCTCACACAAGTACACTTTTGTTGTCCAATTCTTGTGTGACTTTGTTCATTGACACATTGAGTAAATATGTATACATATACAAATATAACTATATACTTATTCATTCCCTATTGCGTGTATACATGTTTCCGGTCAAACAAGTTCCTTATATTTTTTCTTTTGTATAGAACACCCATTTACTCATTCGTTCGTCCATCCTTTATTCTCCGATGATAAGTACAGGAAGTAATGGTCTCTTTTTTTTTCTTTTCTCTTGTCTACTGCAATACTTCAAACATGATTAAAAAATCACTCGACTTCGTCTATCCGCAAGACATTCTTAACATGCAGAATTCCGCCCTCTTTTAACTGTCCACTTAGACGACACGTAGTCATGCACAAGATCTGGCCGTCCAATATGATTATCCAACTGATGAAGATGTTAGTTATGCTTAAATGAATGAAACAGCTTTTTTTTTCTTCAAAATAGTAAGTGATTGTTGTTCTTTTTTGTTCTTCGTACATGTGTACATCCTCTATCTTCAGTATACACATGTATTCATCTACGTATAACAGGAAACAACTTTGATGTGACTCTGGTCAGTGGAAAATATTGTCATGAGATCATTTTCTTTTATGTTACATTCATTATTCTTATTTATTATAAAGTTTAAGTAAAACATATGTATATTTACAAAGTAACAACAAAAATATGTTGTGATTTGACATCAGACACTCATTCACATACTTACTGTTGTATGCACAAGCCTAAAGGTCATTTTGTATATATGTGTATGTGCGATCAAAAATGTGTCAGAATCAATAAAACATACAAAAAAAAGACCGACGAATATGAGGGGTTAAAACTAACACATATATAGATAGAGAGAGAAAAAGAAGGAAAAACATAATAAATGACCATTGGCCACCTATTGAGGGATGACAGTCAAACAATAATATTATACCATCTTTGATGTTCATTCATCTAAACACATTTATCTTATATTCTTTTCTAACAAAAGAGCAATGTATTGTTTTCAGTGAAATAAATACAATTCTTTCATTATACATTATTGTCTAACGAAAGTCGGCATTTGTAAACAAAGAAAAAATTCATTGAATTGCTTTTTTTTTCTTATTAAAATTATCGCTTTCAATCAACATCTTATACAGTGAATTAGGTCGTTTTATTTTAGCATTGATTATTTGAAGTCTATAAACATATCATCATCATCATCATTTGTTCACTTATTTATTCGACACCAATGTGTCATGTCTATTGAAAGAAGCAGAATGCTTTTCCTTCTCTCTCTCTTTATATATATATTGTACGTTGTTCATAATAGCAATCGCTTTTGTATTTAATATAAAAATAAGTACTTGAGTAGTTCTATAATTATCATTTATTCTGTTTCTGTAAGATATTGTTGATATAGAATAAAGCTGAATTGATCAATCAATCATCTATCACTAAAAGCAACTAGTGGCGCAGTGAACTATGAAAAAGAAAGAATTCACTCAGTTGGAAAAAGCGGCGATCATTTCTTCTGCTCCATTTATGAAGCAATGAAAGAAAAAGAAAGGATGAATTTCAAACATATATGTATATATACATTTTGATAGAATTTCGATTTAATGTTCATGTCTGCTATTCACTTATATATTATGATTATGGAGCTGCAGCAGCAGCAGTTCTATAATAGTTGTTGTATGTTGATGAATGATTAGTGCTATTATAATTGGTCAGACAAGACTCATTTTTCGTCTTTCTCTTGTTCTTCTATAAGATTTCTTTTTTCATTTTCGATTAAGAAATTCAGACATACACATACACATACACATACACGCACACGATCAACTTCGTCTAGAATGGCAACTAACTGATTTCACTACGAAAGTTACACACATGTATTATTGATCATATTATGAATAGATGAAGATCAGCAGTAGTGCCAGACTAAACACACGAATGACTGGCTTGTTCATGTCTAATTGCAGTCATCGAATAGTACTAACTACTCCACCCGGTAGACGTACATGTATATATAAAAGAAAGAACTAATATAAGCTTGTATGTGTGTTCTTCTTCGTTGAGTACGCCTACTAATGATCGAGTCTCTTTTCTTCTTTTTTATTCCGACTGTTCGTTCATTCAAGGTTGAAAAGATTTTTTTGTATATGCTCGAATGAAAAAAAAAGAGGAAAGAATCCTTTTAGCACCATAGCTCATTGGTAATATATAATGTAATTTTTTTTTCTATACAACACTCTTAAGTCCGAACGAATCCATCGTTATTGAATTAGTGATTGATTTCATCTGTTCAACGATCGAACGAGCAAGTAATAAACGTACACATAAACTCAATTTAGATAAAAATAGACAAATTCTTTCTTTTTCTTTCATTTTATCATTGTTATGTGAACACTACAAAAAAAAGATCATCAAATCTATATGATATGTAGACATAAATATCTATTTATATATTGTATTGATTTATCACGCTTGTCCTTGAGACATTGTCTCCTTTGCTTACTCATCTTTATTTAACCTTGGATCTTCGTCATTTGATGATGACTAGAAAGAATTACTAGTATTATTTCCTATTCTCAAGATAAAAAAAGAAAAGATCGCGTGTGACAAAGACTAAATGGAATTATGATGTTTACTATGTAACATGATATATATTAGTAGCCACCAGCGGAAACTAACCAATTATATTTGAACTTCGATCTTCAAGATGTCGATGATACCTCCTGAGGCCTCTATGTCCACGCTTTTATTTCGTATGCACACTATCGATAATTATTTTTCAATAACGCACTTGTTCGACGTATGTATTGCATCATTCCCTTATATTTCTATATGTTGAAGAATGTCGATTAGCCGTTTTCTTTTTCTCATTCTATGAGTTGACTTCGCTAATGTGCGTGTTCCGATTGAACGACCTGTCGAATGGTTCATTTAGACAAGTATATCTCAATCTCAAAAGCAAAGCGGTTTCCTTTTTTCTGTATCTCTAACAGACAGCTGATTGATGTTCGCACTTTGTACTTTAAGATTTGTATCAGACTCGATCGAAATATTGACCTAGATATAGACATATATGACGGCGACAATGATGAGTGGACACACGCGCTTCCATATACATCGATAATACAAGGTCTTTTTGTCATGTCATAAAATAGAGGTATGCATTTGAAGTTGATTACTACCACGCAATGAAATTCGAGTACATTTTACGTAAGATTGCCTATCATACACTTGAACAAAGAATCCCTGTATATGTCCATTGTAGAGAACGACAAGCAAGGTACAAATTAATAATATGTGTAAGCAATGGTGACAGAAAAAAAGAAAGCAGATAAAAAATATTACAAAATCTCTTCTCAATTTCTCTTCCTCTCTCTCTCTCTCTCTCTCNCGTTGCAAAAAAGTGCATGGGCGGCCGCGTCGCTCCGCACCTCGTTGAAAAAGAAAGCACAGACGGCCGCGCCGCCTCCGCCAAAAAGCTCTCTGGTGGTGATCGCCTCTACCACGATTTTGGGACTTCCGCCTCCTTTCCGCGCCGCCTCCGCCTCGCTTTTTAGGCGCGGTGCACATCTCTGATCTGTACAATATATTTTATATACGTATTAAATTCATGAGGGTCAATTCAATTATCAGTCACTAAATATATCTCATTTTATAGTGAAAATACATTGAGTAAATTTAGAGAAAGTCAAAGTAACTCGACTATACAGGCTTTATGAACATCTTTAGAAGAATTTATTATTAACCGAAATTTCGCTCGTTAATACATGTTTAATAAATCATAGCACGCATCATTTTCACTTCCGCAATCCACTGCATACACGATATGTCAACTAAGTTGATGCCGCTTGATTATTTTCACTTATTTCAGATAATTGAATGCATCATAACAATATATTCTTTACTAGCAAATGTCTGAATTCTATATGATATCAACCTTCATATACGCGTATTTCTTCAGTATGCTTAACATTGACAATAATTAAAATTCGTTCTCCTCGTAACTAATAATAACGTCATCTAGAAGAAAAACTAGCAATGTTCGATTTCTCTTAAATAGTTATTTGAATCGTACAAATGTCATCATTTTCATCGGATATCTCGAAATATGAATTATTAGATATTTTCTTTGTTTGAAATAATTACTTTCGCTGATTCAAATAAATGCTTCCGAAGAAAACTATGTTATTGATCATACAATACAAAATGATCTAGCTCAAGAGCTGTGCAACGATTTAAAAGCACAAGACAAGCGAAACATTCCTGTTAAAAATAAAACAAAAATAGATGGAAAACGAGTCGCTATATGACTGTCTTTCACCCTTCTCTATCAGTACATAAGCAGTTTTTTTCTTTTATTCATTATTCTTACAAAAATGTTGACTTTTTTTTTTGATCTATCGCTATTGTAATTACTAGCACCTTTCTAGATGTCTCGTACTAAGTTCAAGTAATTATTTTCTTGCATTTTCCCTATAAATAACAAAAAGAAAAAATCAAAATTTTCTTATTATAGAGCTATCAAAATCAAAATTTTGAACTCTTCTACTGTATTTAGAAATTTTATTAGTTTAATTCAATCTAACTTTTTTCTTAAACTAACCTATCAGACTTTACCTCACTTTTTGAAATGGTACAAAAATATATTTTAAACACTTTTCCACTCTATGCATCTTTCGCAACATCAACAGTATAAACAGACATATCATATAAATATTTCATGACATTTTTTTTAGAATATTATATTTAAACAAACAACAACGTGAATATCTTGAAAAGCATTGATCTAAAATTCCTAATATTTTCACTATAATACTAGTAACCATTAATAACGAAACAAACTTGTACTGAATAAATCCTCATTTGTTTTAATTTACGCTTACTATTTCCATATTTTGACATTTAATACATAAAAAAATTAAAGACCCTCTATCGAATAAGCACTTTAATCGTAGGGAATATGTGAGTTCCACATTTTAGTCCCAAAGGGGCTGTGCTAACAAGCTTTTTCTATCTCTCCTATCTCTCGAAGCTGAATTGAAGATTTACCAAAAAAATCTATATACAATCAGTTGAGAAAAGTTCTCTTCGTACATTCATTCTCTTAACTAATTTGACACTTTTGTGAATTCATGTTTGTTTGATAAATTTTAAAATTTCTCGATTTATAAATCACATTCTCTTTTTCTTCAATAATATTTTCTAAATATCTGACATCCTCAAGTATTTTCTAGCCGATTAATCATTAACGGTTTTTTGCAAATATTCTCAAAATCAGAAAACGAAAAGATAAATCCATAAATCATCAAAAAAATTATGCTAGAGAGAAACAATTTATATTATACTATATTAGAAGTTCTCTTGTTTACCCTTTATCACAAAAATTTCATATAAATCGTTATATTACTTCCATAAACACTTGACAAATGATTTCTTATACTCATCTATAGAAAAAAAAAATTCGAAAAATAATGATCCACATTGTTTTTGCAATCATAAAATTCGAAGTTGTAAAGATGATTACGTATTTTTCATTCATGGCTATTATTCTATAATTCATTATTCATGTTTTGCTTCAGGACCGATATAGTCACAGGGTCAAATTTCACTAATCAAAAAAAGTTCATTATTCATATATGATGTCAATATAGATAATGGCCAGACGTTCATTTTTTTTTCTTCATAGAGAGAATAAATATATTGAAAAAATTGTTTCCGTTGGCTATAAAACATAATGAAGAGAATAATAACACAAGATGAACGTCCGCAATGTAATATTATTATATATGACTATAAAAAAAAATGACGTCTCATTTCTCGTCTTCGTTCAATTGAAAGCAATATGATTACTCTCTTCAATGATTTACCTGATCTATCATTGATAGAAATATTTTCTTATTTATCTTGTGTCGATGCTTTATGGTGTTTCAATAATCTCAATATTCGTTTAACAAGATTATTAATTGAACGTGGTTTTTATTATCATATTAATTTATCATCCATGCGGTATCATCGATTCAAAAAAATTTTATCATTACTTCGATTCAATGTAATTCAATCACTTGCCATTGATTGTTATTCGTCACCACTTCAGCTAAGATGTTGGCCTTATTTACCACATTTAAGAATATTAAAAGTAAAAGGTGTACGAAACGTGGTTGATGTTTTTAATTTTGCACAACGGCATGCCACTACATTAACTCATTTAACAGTTGAATCAAGCGAGTATTTTGAAACAGTAAGTATAATTAGCAATAATCTTATATTAGCAGTAATTCCACTACAATGTATGAAAAGGTGTAAAAGACTAGTCGAACGTTTTATTTTTATGTGATTGACATGTACAGACATTAAGATTTGTTGATGTCACATAATTCTTTTTTTTGCTCAAGAAGTTTATGCACATGAGAAAACAGTTTGAGTAGGAAAGTATAAAATTTTTGTATTTATGATTGCTTGATAGTTCTTGCATATTTATTGACGTATAAAACAATGGTTGAAGATAACATTCTATGATCGCATTATCATGTCCTATGCAACAGTATATTTAAGGAAAACATTTCATCATATGTTATTCATCAGACTTTCCTTTCCAAAGAAATAGATCAATTATTTTTGAAAGATTAATGCTAAATATACAAAAATCTCTTGCAAAACTTGTTTTTGTGTAAAAGATGTCGAAGCTCTAGATCTCTCTATATTGATGTCTATTTTTTTTTGCCTAAACAATTTCTCTATTATCAGCAAGTTTAGATAAATAAAGAGAAAATTTTAACTTTCAATTAATAATACAGATATATATTATTTTAATATTTATTTTTTCTTTCGTTAAGTTTGGTCTAAGTAGAAAATTATGTTATCCATCATGGAATTTATGTGAATTCATTACAGAAATTCTTAATCATCTGTCTGCTCTTTGTTCACTTGATTTAGGAATGGAATCATCATTTTTCTTACATCATTGGCCATTTAAAATAATACAAATACCTTTAACTTATTTGGCTATTACATTGAGCACAACACGGAACTTATTAGACATAATGTCGACTGAACCATTATCACGTACATTAGAACAGTTACACATTAAATTAGCTCATGAATGTTTTCTTATAAATAGTAGTCTAGATGGTATAAATCTTTTGCCTCAAATGGAAGCTTTACATACATTTAGTTTTGTTAAATTATTCAATTGGCATTCGATGGTAGAATGGACATTTGTTAATCTATTGACTTCTAATGTTATGCCTGCTTTACGACGAATGAATTTCTCTATTGTTATTAGTATTGATGATCTTATTCGAATGAAGAATTCTGCACTTTTTACAGACTTACGTCATATTGATGTTCATTATGCTTTTATTATCAATGATGATCGTCCACATATAGAACTTCTTAATTATGTACCATATGGTAATCAATGTCATTCTCGTCAAATAGGTAGTGCAACATTTATTTCTGATTCTTGGCCTGACAATCAACCATTTACAACTCCAGGTCAAATCTATGTAAATTTAAGATTATTTCGATTTTAGACACATTCTTTTAAAATTCTGTTGTTTTTTCAGCTGAGGAAACCCAAAATTCGACAACATCTATTCTACAGTTTACCATGGACTTTTAATGAATTTTTTCAATTAAGTGTTCCAGATAGATGCATTTATCAATTAGAAGTATTTAAATCTTCTTGTTCAATTAGTGAAATCTATTCGTCTAATTTAATTAAATTGAATATGTCAGATAATCTTGCATCATCTACTATATTGTTATCTCAAATAATGACTTCAAATAAGATAGTCGCACTTCATTTGTTTCGATGTAATAGACAAGTGTCTATGAATTTACCTAATGTTTCTCATCTTATTCTTATCGATAGTTTGGATTCATTGAATAGTTGTTCACTTTCATTAAATATTCGATCCATTCAAATCATTCTTCATTATGAATGTCTTCGTTTTGCAACTGGTGATTGGACTGCTTTACGTTCACTCTCAATTTTACCATTGTTGAAATCTTTACGTATACTTTTATATGGTATGCATATTCCTCCAGATGATACAAGTTGTCAAATCATTGCAGAGATAACACCAAATTTATTGGATTTTTCTTTTTGTTTTCGACGTATTTATCATCAAAATTCTTATGATATTGTTGCAGCATACAAGGAACATTGTTTATTTATTGAAAAATTACGAAAGCGTATTCTTAATTTATCATTAAATGAACAACCATATGTTTTTGTTGAAAAAGATGGTTGTGGACTTATTATGTGGTTTTGATTGATTGATATATTTAATGTATTTTCGTCTATTTCATTTCATGTCTCATTTCTAACATCAATATTATTATAAATAATCATGAATTTTAATAAAAACAAGAAATTTATATCTGATAATGACTTTTCTATTTCGATAAAGAGTTTTTGTCAGTGCTTAAAAGCAAGATTTGTAGAAAGAATAGAACGTAATTAATTCGTTTGTTTAATTTGATCTTTGTTTCAAATTCAAGTTAAAATTCTCATTAATGACATTTCTTTTTGGAATTATTTGAGTAACAAAGATCTCAACTGAGATTAATTATCATTGTTCTACTGTGTTAGTTGATTCTATTAGTAGATGTGACGTTTAAAAAAAAGAAGAAGATTGTTCAACAAATGATAAAGAGTTAAACATGTTTTAATAATAATAAAAAATAGATGGATTTAACAAAAAAACTAAATAAATAAATATAAATGTTCATGTTGTTTTATTTTAATTGTTGATGATGTTTAATCCGAAACGAATCTAAAAATAGAACTGGTAAAAAATAAGAATAGTTTTCATTTTATTATTACCTCACTGTACCCATTGTTAAGATTTTTCTTTTAATTTGTTGAATACTTCTCTTAGTGACTTTTGTAAGATTTTCGTTGATTTGTTTGACATTGATGGCGCAATATTTGCAGAAAAACTAAAAACAAACAACATAATATTTAATAATATGACAATAAAAATTACTTGATTTTTATTATTTAAAAGTACATATTGATCTAATCGAATGATTTTTTTTTCATTCTTGACAAGTTTCATTTCCCTTACGGTACAATAATAAACCGGCTAAAAAAAGTTTATTAATTTATATTAAATGATTAGATTAGTTTTTTTTATTACCTCGATCGTTCATTTGCAAATTTGATATTCCGTTGTCAATTCGATTTGCACATGTTGAACAAAATAATGACGATGAATTTTCGACATCCTTTTCATTACAAATTAAACATTTTTTTTTTTTGATGCCGGAGTCATTGAACTGGATGCCATTAAGACGACGTAAATAAGAATATGTGTGTACGTGTATAACAGTGTATGTGTGTTTGTTAAATGTAAAGAAAATTCTAGTCAACCGTACAGAAACAATATCTTTTTACAAATGTAACTAACAGTGAACAGGGTAGAGAAGGAAAACAACACGTTATATCGAACAACAGAATGCAAGAAAGGAATATGTACGCAAAAGTGAAAATAAAAATGAATTAATTCATTAAAACTTTCATAACTCTTTGAATATGAGATTATTTTTCGGAAAAAAAGAAAATTTTCGAAATTTATAATGCATACTCTTCTGATTTGAGCCATTGATAAAAATTTAATGTACTAAATTCTGAAGATACAATTCCATGAAGTTTGCTAAACATAACAACAATGATGATGAATTAAAAATTTTCTTTTTTTCTATTTAATTTTAAGTCTTACTTAAGTTGATAACAATATTTTTCAAGAGTTATTAACGTATCATCTGTTAAACCTGTACAATTGGCAACAATTAATGTGTCAAGTAAAGGAGAATAATGAGCTAAAGCTATAAGACTATCATCCGTTAAGGACTAAATTAAAATTCCGAAATATAAACGAATAAATATTTCTTTTCTTCTTACAGAACATCGGTTTAAAACAAGAACTAATAAATTTGAACAATTTTTTCCAAGTTCAATAGCTGCATTATTTGTCATCTAAATTATTTCATTTTTTTTAAATATTATTTTAATTTAATTCATAATTACATGTGTACATCCTTCAGCTTTAAATATAGTAAATTTTGAACATGATTCAGCTAATATTCGAATATCATTCTCTGTTATATTCATATTCATACACCATGATATATCCCAACATTCCAAATAAGAACAACTTGATCTAAAGAAAAACATTTTCTGTTTAATATTTTATTTATTTTTCTATAAAATTTACGTTATTAATTTAATTCCTTGATCATCAATATGATGACATGATGATGTATTTATATATTTTATTCCACATTGTTTACTTAAATTTTCCAAAACATTTCCCTAAAACAAATAAATAAAAGATTATTATTTAAAAAAAAATTTGTAAACATACATCAACATCACGTTGAAAACTTTTTAAATTAATACTTTGCCAATTTGAACCATCTAATGCTAATGTATTCCAATATTAAATATAATAACAAAACGATTTAACAATCACAGATAATTATTATTTGTTTCTTTTCTTTTTTACTTTGGATACTTGGGCATATCGACATAAAGATTGATAATCAAGAAACGAAAATATTCTATAATAAAATACATTTATTTACACTTAATTATTATCTTGTTTAATCAGGAGCGTAACTACGGGGGGGGGGGGGGGGGGCGACCCTCTTTTCTCCTCCACAAAACACCAGAATGTTAGAGCGGGAGGGGGGCGGAACCCCCGCTTCACGCTCACAAGTT